GCCAACTAAGTATACGTGTATACATCGTTGTGTATCAGAGAATAATCTGAAAGTAAATCTCTACCAACACGCGTGGTTAGTTACAGCAACGTAGTGAATGGGCTCGCTGCCAGGATTCCCTTTATCAATGTTGGGCCTATCAGAGAAGGATAAAATGTTAAGTAACGAGGTCAAGCAACTTGTACTTTTTATTTAATTACTATATGCGAATCAAATTTTAACGCGTTATGCGTGATTTCAAAGTTTTATCGAAATTGGTATCTCGACGATATTAAGCGTCACGATGGAAATGGGAATGTTTAAATAAACATAAATTCAAGCATTCCACAAGTATCGTATAAATTGATTTTGTCAAACTAACTGTCGTTATTTTCGAAAAAATATTCTTTTGGTTTGCCGGGTAATACGGAATTGACGAAATTACTAAAGGTGAAATTTATTTTCCAAATTTTATCGTTTGAAATTTTTCAGTTTTCAGTCTACAGAGCGCAAATTTTCTACCATAGATATACGTATATTTTGGAAAAAATGATTAAATAAAATATCGTTTTTCTAATAACAGACGTATCAATCGTATATAGATTATACATTTTATAAGCTTCAATTTTTAAGCTTGGTATTCTTCCGTACAGTAATGATTTTTTAAGTAAACATTTTTCAAGTAATTCGCATGGAAAAAACAGACAGAAAGTCACGTGCAATTAATAGGATATCTATCGAATTGCAAATTAAGTCGAGTGAATAAATAATACGTTGAAACAAAGTTTGAAAGATTGAAATTTTTTATTTGCTCCGCGATATTATATTTTTCGATAGGTTTTCAAATAAACAACGTTTTTCAATGACACTTGCTTTATCAAATAAGATTAAAACACGTCGCTTGTATAATTAATTTTTTATTAATTTCGTTTAATTCCAGATACGTCAGAGGGAGTATTTTTATTATTTCATATCTTATAAATCGCGATATGTTATGGTCACAAAGCCGGAGAATTTCAGCTTACGAATACGAATTGCGTTAATTAACGCAATATTTTTAATTCGATTAAATACAACGTGATTTCTACGCAACGTATTGCATAATTATTTTTGTACATTTCACCGCAATTAGCAATTTTGTTAATAATCGTGCATACTCGATGTTAATGTCGTGGTATTCCAACGTTTCGAAGTAATTCTTTATGAACTCAAAATTTTAAACGAAATACCGTAATATATCGCAAACCACAAATAATGGAAAATAACCGTAAAAAACGTTCGAAAACAACGAACACCGAGCTTACGTGATATAGATATTTAGGTATTAAACGTTTCATGCAGAGGCGCGAAGACTGTCTGAGATAAGAACTGTCTGTACGAAATAAGAACAACGTATCGCGCAAATCCTTTAGCCAACACTCCGTATTAAAATAACGCCATATCAAAAAAAATAGCATCTAAACGTTACCCATTCAATATCATATCAACCTGCCGAACGTCCATCGGACAAATTGCGAGGAAATTATATGGGTTAATAAAAAAAAGGTAAAAGAAAATGTACGTTCTATTTGACTTTGATTTCAAGTTGTAGCCATTTCCGTACTACAGTAATATAGAGGTAGGTACTATGCTATAAGAGGCGCTCAATGTAGATACCTTCAGTTTGAATGTGTGAAATGTTAATTTTACTACAAAGGGAAATAGAGAGCAGGTTTAAAGTAGCTTGCGCCGTTGAAATCGGACTGAGATTGGATTCTTTGAAGGCCGAGAGAATGCAAGAGAAATAACGGAAGACGTCGTCCGTTCTGTGAATTTATTTCACGAATATAGATTTCGACAATTCAAAGTATGTACGTGTATATGTTGTAGAAGGAGGATTCGCGGCAGTTGATCGAACAAAGAGAAAAATAAAGCTCCAAGTATGTAAATGAACGGGTTAATTAAATGTGACGGATAGAGAAATTTTAAAACTTTAATATTTGTTTACGGTATACGAACGTTAGTAATCTTTGTATCGGATATCTTTTACCGCGTTAATCAGTTGTTTATTATATCGCGGTATATAGAATATTCCACAGATATAGATTTAAAAATAGATTTAATCGTATAAGTAGAAACGAAGCGTGTATCTGCAACAATTTCATGTATTTTTGCGCATCGGGGTGTCTGAAAGATGCAACTGCACCGCCTTTTTAAATTCTATCCTATACTTGAGCAATGACGAGAGAGATTTAATCGTTTGTTATAGAACGTATGGCTGACTTTCTCTATGCGAGGGTATTGAGGGATCGCTTCAACTTTATTAGTATGAGTTTTTAAGCGCTTCCGACCATGTTATTTAAAAAATCGCCGTTTCGATAAATATCATGCTACTTGTAATAACGTTAGGACAGCGCAGTAATAAGCAAGTGCGTGTAAATTCAACGTAGAATACGAACGAGAAAGGAGAGTTAATTAAATTCACGGCTTTTATAGGGTTGTAAATTTAGCAGGATCAGTTACTCATCAAAATAAAGAATAATAAATTAATAGAATATTTAGATCATAATTATTAATTATTAAATATTAAATTAGAGTATATCGATACATATGTTTTAAATCGATATAATTTTTTTTGTCGTTAAAAACCTTTATATACATGTATAATCGAAAAAAATTTGAAATAACGGCAAAGAAAGAAAAATTACTGGAACATAAGAATAGCCGTAACTTGAAAATAAAGTTAAACAGATCAGATTTTTCGCAAGAAATGGCTTTCACATGTTACGAAACACCTTGTTGAAAATGACAACGTGAGTCCGTGTTCGCCATCCATATACAGATGCGTTAGTTATAAGAAATAGCAACCAGAAGATAATCCTAGTTGCAATCGATAGATTTAGTCGATAGGCTTAAGATGCTTTTTTGTTTTTATCCCTAGTTTTTCTAAGCGCGTGCAATAAAGGCTTTTTTGGCTCAGAACGGTGTGATAGATTTATCCAGTTAATAAAATAATTACTATTATGATCCTATCTCTGAGTATAGAAATAACAACACACCTTCTCTGTATATTATCTATTAAATTCGCGTTCGAGTTGTTTAAGGTATAATCAAGTCCCGAGCTTGAACGATTTCCTACATCGATTTAAATGGAAAGTTTCTTAGGAGATCAAATTTAGAAGGTCTAATTGTAGATCCGGTTTTCGATTGTCGTTATATTTTATGAGAATCTCTAGAATAGTTCTCTGGCAATGTTAATCCCGAGTACGTGTTTTACATTAAACCGATTGACACTGATTTGTTTCTCAATAAGGTCTCGAGTACTAATTTTCAGTGACTACTTTCTTTAAGTAAGTTAATAAAAGAAACGTGTTTCTTTAGTTTTGCAACGAACGCACCTTTCTGTATTTTCGTTACAGACTGTTCAAATACGAGTCAATCGTGACACGGAAACGGTCAAATAATGATTGTACATGTAAAAATATGTCGAAAAAGAAGACTAACATTTTTTCATCGAAGGCTCGGTCTTCCAAAAAAAAAAAAATGAGTTTGAAAAACCGTGCGTGGCCGTGTATCGACGTTGTAAAACTTATCGTACGAAAGACAAGGAAAACATAAACATAAAAGTATCGCTTCGTCTTTTTGTCTTTTTTAATTATTCGGATTTCCAATTTTTCGCAAGCGTTTCATCGTAGCGTACCTTTCGTAAGCGTCGATAAGTGCATAAATACTTATAAACGGAGATGTACGTCGTTTACGATTTCAACTTCTCAATTCGTACGTATAGCGGAACATCCATTTACATAGACTTATCGGAGATCGAGCAATTTATACCTCGAAATTCGTGTAATAGGAGTTCACCGCTTCTCTCCGATACCTATGATTTTTGGTTCATTTAATGGGAATTCACATTCAAATACGTGGACTCGATCGACAGTAGTTGATTAGATCAAGCACAAACTAAAATTCTGTTCAAAATGCTTGAGTTCGTACAAACGAGATTCTAACGCGTAATAACGGAGGATTTTTCTCCGTTCGTGGGATATTTAAGAACGCAAAAATGCATAGAACGCGCACAATATACGGAAATATATAAAACATCCAAAGTATAGTAATCGTTATAACGTCTAATAGGCAAAGTCCTGTTCTTTTAATTATTATTTTCACGAAGATACGAATTTAAATAATATTTACGTAAATGTCATCTAGCGATCAATTGTTCCCAGAAACATTCTTGTCGTCGAGAACGAATCATCCAAAAATTTTCACTTCTTATATGCCGAGGTTAATACGTATGTATTAATGAGAAACGAAATATGTAATGTTTGAAATTATAAGAAAAAAAAAAAAAAAAGAAAAAGAAAAAGAGAAGAAAAAAGAGGATAGATCGTACTGTAAAGAAGAACGGTAGAAATCTAGTTCACTCTTCCGTCTCATAACTATAGGGTCAGAGTATCCTTTTTCTATAAAAATTGAACACGCTGGTGTAGGACGAAATTGTCACGACAAATCATTAAATCACTTAACCTATCCGGAACGTATACAGACATAGATCGTTTTAATCATGGATCTTTATGAATTCGAGTTACGATATCTTGTTTTTAAAATGCGTTTGTACATACTGTTACGAGTGATAATATATTATACGCTCAGCTTCGTTTTCGTTTCATCGTTACAAAGAAACCGAATCGTTCTCGCTAGCGAACTGATGAAAAATCTTTTAACGAGTTGAAAACATAAAACGTGCGCATTAATACGAGAGCTATTGCTTTTTATTCGGCAAACATCGTCTATCGTGTAATGGGATAATTAGAAACGCGTGATTCGCAAAGGTGACGGGTATACATAGGACACAAGCCGATTGACAGCAGTTTCTTCGAGCACGTTGTCGGAAGGGGATGAAGCATGGTGGCCAAGTGGGGATGAACAGGTCGCCCCGTGTCGGGGAGAGAGCACTCTTGCTCGACTGGGGTTGAACCGTTGCCGAGGGAGGGGGATCCTCGTGCGCTTAGGATATACAGAGAACTCCACGAACTCGGAACTTCAGTCTGAACGCGACGAGCGTTACGTTCGTTGCGCGTGTTTCGCGTTAAAGTGAAATCATGTGCGAGAAACGTGGTATGTGCACGAGTAGACGACAGGTGCCTCTTCTAGTAGTGACTACTTTGTTAGTTGGCGTGCGCCCGGAAATAGTCGGTGAGTATAGAAAACGATTCGCATGCCAATCCGTCTTTCTTTGCTCGCGACGCCACGGTACCGCCGATCATCGTGCACGCGTCCTCCATCCTTGCGCTCTTCCCAGTGTGTCGGTCAGTGTCGATAAAAGTTAACCCTTAGTGCTCCGGCGCTATCACCGGCTTCACGGCATCCCTCGGCCGATCATCTTAGTTAAAACGTCCGAAACGTATCGTTTCGAAATCTACCACTTTGGCCGTACTTGACTATCGTACTTGACGATTATACCGATCGAAAGGTAGAAAGTATAGTGAACATATTTTCAAAAATATAACCGTCTTGCTTTTAGAATCAAAATTTTTCGTTTCGAAAAGCTATATTACCGCTCGAGTGTTACTCTTTTCAGAGTTATCGAAGCGGATCACGCGGAAAAAAGCCTCGAGGTGCAAAGGGTTAAATTTACTTCGCTGTCGTTACTTTGCACGACAGATCTTTTCTCTGCGAATCTTATCGCGAACGGTATACGCCGACTAAAATAGGAGAAATATGTGCATATTGTTTCGTCGTTCGGATCGGCCGAAGGTCGTTGACGCGACACTTTCGACAAATTTCGAAATTCTCTAGGAGGCTTTGCCGATTACGAAGCAAGCGTATCGTTCTTATACACGTTGACGGAATCGTGAATCGGAAACTTTAATTCTGCTTAATTATGTTCGTGCATCGTCTAATGCCGAAGGTTCGGATGTTGATCTGAACGGAGGCTTAAACGCGACGTAACGTAGAACATTGCGAATACCGAAAGCGATGAATTGCGCTGAAAATTGTATATCTCATCGTACGTGTAGAATGTTGAACCGTCGAGGTAGAAACAGCTATGCATTTTTTTCCCCTTCAGACGGTTATTTACAAACAGTGTACGCGAAAATGTAAAAGGCGCTCATTTTACGACTGTGACCTATTGCGTTTACGATTTTGCGCTGTCATTTCGAGTGTTTATTTCGATCAGACAAACGCGGTCGAAGAACGCACGGAAGAAACTAATTCTTATACTTGTTTGTTGGCTAAATTGCGTTTCTCCGATACGACGTAACATTAAAAGTAACTGACAAACTGTTAAATCCAAAGATACAAAGTTACCAAGTTTCGTAAAAAATCCTACGACACTAATATCGTTCGAATGCTTTTTCGTTCGAAGGATTTTGTTAGTACGGGATCGATCGACTGCGTATTGAATTTTTAAATTGTTTCTCCGTAGGAAACGATAAACCCGATATCTCTTTCTCCGTGATATTCGCATGTTTAAAGAAATGGGTGCAATATCGTTCGATTAAATATTCTTAATTTGTAAAATATTTGTGGAAATTTACGATTTTTATGCAAACTTGCTTTGTTGTATTTCTTTGCTGGCAACTTCATTTTCTCCGGACGTAGATTGCGTCTAATCAACGTTTAATGGATTAATATCGTTTATAGTTTCTCGAGGCCATCGTTTGAAACAGAATAAACATTATCCGGAAATCCGAGAGGGGAACAGAAATTGCTTGGCAAATAGCTGGGATAAGAGCGAGGCAAAAAATCCTTTCATAAATTCGTTTTCCGTGTCTCTTTTTCCGAGTGTCAAAATTATACTCCAATTTTTTGCTCGATATAAAGAGAGAGAGAGAGTCCGTTTCAATCTTGATGGTGCCACGTATTTCTCAATTATCTACAAAATTGAATCTTAATCTGGTCCATGCAATCGAAGCGCACAATCTTGCTTACCTACGTAACGTCCATTCACAATAACATTGATACGAATCTTGATACGAAAATTTAACTGACCTGACATTTCAATAGCAATATGCAGTTATTTATATTTAACGGGAATTTACTTTTTTCCAACTGGAATATTTCATTCGCGTTTCGATCAACCGTATGATTTTAGAGAATTTCACAGAAATACAAATATTAGATATAGAAAAAAGATTCTGTTTTTCTCTTCTATGTACTCTTTTACGTATCGTTACGTATCGTTAAAAACGAAGCGTTCTCTGCCATTGTTACCAATAATAGAACTACAAGTTTCGACCGTTTTTTCATTTTCACCACGTCTTTCACATTCGCGCGTTTTCCAAGACGTCCGAATACGAGGTAACGAAGTATATAGAAGAATATAAACTTAAAAGCAGAACATTTGTTACGCCTAATACGTACCTAATACACGATGGAAAACGATTCTATTTCTAACGAAGGGGTATTTTAAAGGGAAAATCGCTTTGTGGTTGAGAGAGAAATTCTTCCTTTATCAATTTCATTATTTTACAAACATGAAAGAGAAAGAAGTATACACCATAAAGAGAACGTGGACACGCAGAAATTGGTTGTAACAGAGGTATAAAGCGATAGGAAGGATTGATTTTTATTTAACATCGTCGACGATTTACTTTCTTGTCGACGCGGCTACGGGAGTCGTATAAATCGTAAGTTCAATTCGCACTCGTTTGAAATTTTATTCGCTTTATGACGTCCATCGTGGCGTAGCCCAATCCATTGTACGAAGTTTGACAGATGCGTTACGCGGTATATAGTAAAGTTGCGATTTCGCAAATATTGCCGTGTCACGTAGCTACTCCGTTTGGTTTCGCCGGATAAAATGCGAAAACACGTGAAGGCATAATGTCGAAATATTGAGCAGGTCAATTTGTACGCGTCCCGCTCTCGCAATGGCGCCGTTACACCGCGAAATTTGTAAAAATTATCCTGATGAAAGCTCGCTTGTCATCGTTATTCGATAGTTTGCATACAGGCTTCTTGTTTGTTACCTTTTTTACATTTTTCTTCCTTGTTTTCCTTCTTTTTTTTCGATAGAATATTTTGCTTAAACATACACGCTCGATCGTTTCTTAGTCTGCTAAAAAAAGGTGAAATATAGGAAAAAAGAATTATTCGAACGAAAATCGTTTAGTTGGGTGTCGATAGAGGAAAATATGTCACTAAAATTGGATTTTTTGTCCAAATTCGCACTTTTCCCAGAGTTTTATTTTATCTTTATTTTTATAAATAAAATTTTATTTTTTTAGCGAGTTCAATGTGCTGGATTTTGAATAGGCACCGAACCAGTTGGGAAACGTAACATCGATCGATTGTTTATGAAATATCGCGAATAATCGAGTTAAATACGAAACGAAATTTTATGAAAAATTTGTTAACAATAATCTCTTTTTTCTGTGTATTATTTTTACTTCAATCAGCTTTCATAGGTAGTGTCGTGTTTACCTGTCCGACTTATCCGTATGATTTGGTAAAATTGAGCCTTGATTTATGCTCTTCTTGTTTCCCGTATCTTTGAGATAGTATTTCAAGTTCCTTAATATCTTCTTTTATCCCACGGTACGCTGAATATATTCGTATTATTCGTTTTACGCCTCCAGTCACTTGTCGTTTTTTTAAACAAATTTTTTTTAATTTTCTCTTAACGATACCAATCTTGAAAATGAAGAGCTTAAATCCGCGAAGGAGCTAACAAAGATTCGAAAGTTTCGGTAGAAGAAAATTCATGCCGGAGAACTTGCGGCATAACTTGTTACGATTTTGATGGAACATAGTAGGTACATCCTCGTCCATAAATTACCGAGCATTTAGTTAGCAGACGTAGAATAATGGTAAATTAATTTTACACTTGCAAAATCAAGTTGATACTTGTTAACTGTTTACATTGCGAGGAAAATTCAATTATTCCACGGAATTTGTAAAACCTCGTTATTACCTCGATGAATACTTTGTTTAAATTCAGCCACTGTCTAGTGCGTTATTTTTATGAAAAGTTTCTACGAAGAATCGTCAAATTTATTTCGATATCAAAGTTATTTCGATCATTCTGGTCGTTCTAACGTTAAACACGATGTTGAATGTTAATGAGAACCTTTACTTTTGCAAATATTTTAATTCTTCCTATATTTCTCGTTCAGCGGCAAGAAGTAATGAAAATTAACGCGACAAAAGATCAATTCGCGTGGCCAAAATTAGGACGTTTTAATTAGCAAAATCTCACCCTCTTTCATCAGGTACTTTAGTTTTTCATTTGCACGCGTTCGCTTTCTTATTATTTATTGTGGCGTAGTGTTTACAGCAACGTGACGTTTAACTTGGCGAGTACTAAAGCCAAATTAATTAGAATTAAGAAGGAAAGTTTCATTCGAAGCGCGTGGCACGTTTATGAACGATCGCCCTGCAACTCTCGTTAATTTTTTCCCTTCCATTTTCCTTCTTTCTTTCACGACAATTTATGGTGCAACGTTCGCTTCCGTGTTTCTTTCCTCTTATCCGTCGTGTTAATTCTATCGACCTTGAAACGCGAAATAGAAGCAAATTAAGCTCGCATCGACAAATATCGCGTTACAAATTGAATTGAAAAGTAACGCTAAAGCTGTCAAAATGACGGTTTTCGCTCGTTTGTTCGAATTTCCAGTTCTTGTTTGCACAGTTATTTAAAACGTGCAAGTCTTTTTGCCAATACCGATGGATATTTTTATTGAGACAAAAACACGTTTACGCGAGGAGCGGAGCAGAAAAATGGTCCAAGCACATTCTTTTTCGATCGCAGTTTTTTAATTTCACACGAAGCTTAGAACCGGTAATCGCTACATCGTAGACAATTCGGTGTGATTTGGTGTCATCGATGTAATCACCGGTAAGATACGATATCGCAACGACAAGCGAGCAAAAGCGAGAAAAACGACATTTTCAAAATATATTCGTAGCCGCAAGGCATGTCATTTTCACTTTACGTAACATCACGAAGGTATCACCGTCGATGATTGGAATTTTTGTTTTAATCGATCGCTTATGGTCGTATCAATCGCTACAGCAGGTATTATCGACGATTCTCTCGAAATTGTAGATCGAGTTTCGACTTTTACAGTTTCTCACTCTGAGTTGAAAAATATAAAACGTTAAACTGCCATAAATAAATTATTTGCTGTTAACACAACGACATAGCGATAATATCAAATGAAACGCTGATTGATAAAATTTAAAAGACG